TCTTGGACCTCCTCATTTCTTCCATTTGCTTTAGCATCTCTACGCTGGAGAGCAAGTTTCAGTGTCTCTTCTGTCGTCCATTTTGACCTTTTCCTTCTCTCTTGTCTTCTCAATGACTTTTTGCTTTCTTCATGTATGATGTTCTTTATATCATCCCACAGCTCTTCAGGTCTTCGGTCTTTTAGTGTTTAATGCATCAAATCTGTTCTTCAGATGATCTCTAAATTCAGGTTCAGTATCATAGCAACACACAAGTCTCCTCTGACAGACTCATCATGGCCAGGAATTGAACCCAGGTCTCCTACATGGAAGGCAAGAATTCTACCACTGCCCACTAATCATACTTCATGTTGTTTTGTACCGTCAAGTCGGTTCCGACCCATAGCGACCCTGTACAGGGCTTCTGAGGAGCAGCTGGTGAGCTTGAACCACCAACATTGTGATTCAAACTGACCTTACAGTCCAGCACATTAGCCCACAGTGCCACACCAGGACTCCAACCATACTTAACAGGGGCATGTAAGAGAAAGTATCTCTAACCCACCACTTTAGTAACTTACTGAATAACAGCAGGAACCACACCAAAGAATGGGGAGATATCAGGTGAAAGAAATAATCTTAGAAAGTATCAAATAATTGTGTCACCTTGCCCTCTCTTGGAGTCCTGCTGTGGCGCTGTGGGTTAATAATGTGCCTGATTGCAAAGCCATTTGAACTGCAAGGTCGGTGGTTCAAGCTCACCAGCTGCTCCTTGTAAACCCTATTCAGGGTCGCTATGGGTTGGAATCGACTCGACGGCACTCAACAACAACAACAGTCCTCTCTACTCCAGAAGTGAAATGCCCAGGGACAGCTGGCTTACCTGGAGCTGGGAGTGGTGGTACATCCACCGCAGGGCAGCCGAGGTCATGCTGGGGGCACTGGAGCCATAAGCTGTCTGCAGGGCCTTCTCCACCAGGGCAATGGCCTTGAAGTGGTGCTCCTTCCAGAAGCTGCCCAGGTGGGAGGGGAGGACAGAGGTCACTACCCTGGGGGTCACCATGGGGACCAGACCCAAAGAGCCAACAGGGCAGCTGCCCCTGTGTCCTCTAGCAAGCCCCAGTGTCCTCTAGCAAGGGTTCTCAGAAGCTCCAAGGATGCTCAACTCTCCACCACAGACACTGCTGGAAATCTACAGCGCTAACCTAAAGCTGCCCTTATTTGACCCAAC